GATCGCCGAGATGCGTCGCGAGACGTACATTTCATCAGATGACAACGTTCGAGTGTCCGAGTTGTTGCAGAACTTTGGAGAGGGACCGGGGAACACAGTGAGAATTTTTCGCGATCCTGCAACAAGTCTCACAAGCTGTATCACCTTCCAGACCGCGCACATGAGGAGGATGGCGAGGAAGTTTCCAGAGGCTCCATGCATAGATGCCACGCATGAAACTAATCTCAACAGGTGCGAGACCGATGATATTTACCTATAGTTCATATTTTTAGTGTTAAGATTACCGAAGTTTGGTGATATTATCACAAAAAAATGAATACTTGGTTATATATTCACCATTTACTAACTTTTTTTTCGTGATGCTAAGATACCGTCTCTTCAGTTTTATGGTTACCGATAAGTTTGGAAGTGGTGCATTTGTGCAGCACGCTTTGATCGACGAAGAAACCAAGTTCCTGAGCTTGCTAGATTTGGAGATGAGAGCAGGTTGAGCGATACATGTGTGTATCTGGCATCGCGGCGTGTTGAGGAGGAAGCGACAAGGTTGTCGTGGTGTCAACCTAAGATAGTGACTGTTGTCGACCTATTTACCACCAAATGGTAGACGTGGAAAGAAGGAGTGGATTTATCGACACTAGCGAACGCATCATCAGCCAATTGCAAGCGAATCGGATCGTGTGTTGCCCGATTGATATTAACGTGTCGTTTACCCACTGGTGTGGTATCATCTTTGACATGGAGCGGCAAACAGTAAGGACATATGACCCTTTTCACAGAGAGGATTTTCTAAGCAAGTTGAAGGACGTTTTTGAGAGTCGATTTGGGCCCATTATGGCTACTGTGATGGAAGTTAAAACTTCCCAGGCTAGCTACAAGACGACGGTTATTGCTGCGGAGTATTGGTTGTTCTCTGGTTTGAACAGTACATGTCTATCGCCCGAGCTACTCCACCCGACCAGAGCATTCCTGTTCCTCGCGGCAACAAACTGCACCCCGACGAGTTGATGTACATGCGTTTCAAGTTTCCTACGTATTTGATCGCGTAGTGGCAGACGCAGACATTCACCAATAATTGCGTGAGTATATTTTGAGTGTAAGGAGGGAGTTTATTACGAGAAGACGACAACAATACCAGTGCTTCCAATGCTGGTGCTGTGATGCAGTACATGTGTACGCTAATAGCAAGAGATCTGCATTGAGTGT